GGGAGAGTCGGGTCCCCAGCCTCCAGCAGCAGCTGAGATGGGGAACAGGCACCCTGCTGGAAGGTGCAGATGGCACACCCCTCCACACTCAGCACCCAAATGCCCGTGTGGAGGGGGCTTCTCCGCAGGGCTTTGCTGGCTGGGGAACCAGTGGCTCAGAGAAGCTGAATATCTGCTCAAAGTCACACAGCAGAAAAGGGGTGGGCGGGCTGGGACTAGAGTGAGAGTGGTCATGCTCACAGTCTGCTCTGGTTTGAATGTGCCCCCACTCCCTGCCCGGATTTCACATGCTAAAAGCTGGTAGCTACTGTGGTAGTGTCAGAGAGTAGAGCTCAGCCGCGACGGGACAGGCAGCAGAGGGGCTACTGCTTGATGCTGGGGAGAACACGGGAGGGCTCCAGGTTCACATTTGGGCCTACTCGAACATGCCACTGCCGGGCGTGCCCGCCAGCCTTGCTGACTACGAGGGATAGGGGAAGAGAACCCCCTCGAGAATGCCTGTCTCTTTTGCAGGAAATAAACTTAAAAAAAAAAAAAAAAGAAAAGAAAAGAAAACTTTAAAAAGTGTAGAAACTCTGGGACCAGCAGACGGTGCAATGGTTACATCGCTGGACTCCCATGTGGTTCACTGCGGTTCAAGTCTCAGATTCGGTGGCTTAGAACTCACGCCTGGCATGTGCACATGTGTGCCCAAAGTCCCGAGAGGAGAGTGGAGGAGAAGGGATTGCAGCGTGGCCATCCTCCCTGGGGCTGATTTCTTGCATTCTGTCTGTCTCTCTTGTCTCTCCAATGAGTGCACGTGCCCTATAGCAAAAAATCTCTCTGGGGGAAAAAAAGTGTAGAAACTCACTAAGAGGTGGGCCTCCAAAAGGTAATTAGTACTACATAAGGCAGCAGAGTGGGGCCCCCATGGCTGAGCGCTGGTGGCTTTATAACAAGGAGATCAGGCGTGCTCTCCTCCTCTTGCCACATGGCTCTGTGCTCTCCTGAATCTCTGCAGAGTCCCCACCAGAACGCCCTC